ATTATGCCTCCAGACCAGTCTCAAGATGGGCACATGAGCAAGCCCAAGACTGCGGGTCTTCCTTGAATGGGAGTCAGGTTGCTCACAAGACATTCATGTTTTTCTTCTTCGTGCCAATTGAACCCAGCTCGACGCCTAGCAGGTGGTATTGATTCCCAAATAGCACCAAATTTGTAATCCAAGATGGCTATCTTAATTCAGCACAACTGTACTTGCCCAATCCTTTGTGCTGCTGGAGCCATTCGCTGGTGACTACTTTCCCCAAAAGTCAATGCTATAGGTACTAAGCTTCCCATGTTGAAAGTCTGCCTAGGTATTCAATTAACCTGCAGTTACGGATACCAAATGGTGATACGGAGTACTCCCTTAGTACCTTATTCTCCCATTTCGCTCCCAACCTAAGGTACCTACATGCAATCCCACACAACATCCGTATTCCTCACGACTCAAGGCCCCATGTCCCGAATAGCTTGTATCTTTCGCTTCTCGTGTCTGGAAACTGCAGTGTATCAAGAGACATCCATGTCTGCCTGGTAATGAGACGAATGACAGAACCTATGCATATTGCTGTCGCTCTCTGCTCCAGCTTTGTTGGTTGACCCCTCACACACCAACAGTGCCCCCTCTTTCCCAAACCACTTCAATACACGTCTTGCAACCATCTTAGGCTAACGACAGACCTAAATCTTAAACTCTAGAGGTTTTTGTTGACCTTTGCCTCTATCCTTACCCATGGCCATGCCGTCACTCTGTGTCGATTAAGCAGAAAACGCCCCGCAAGTCCCCGGAGTTACTTCTTCAACAACCACCTCGAGCTGCAGCAGTATGTACAGGTGCCTAAGTCAAAGAGTACCATTCGAGACACTGATTTTTGAGTGTCATCTTAGGTTCCTACCCGTCGTTCGCCTAGGTCGGGTCCACTCAAGCTCTCCCAGTCAGGTTCCGCAACATTAGACTAGGTCCTCGCGCCCAAGCCCCATTCAGAACAGCTCCTCAGCCCAGCAGAGCTCAGCACCATCGCAGCAAAGCTCAGTTCAGTCCTGCCCAGCTCAGCTCATTTCACTGGACGTCAAGCATTCCTCCTCTGCCATCATATTCCATTATTCTCAATTATCGCCCTTGGCATACTTTGGGGGCTTTCAGACTTCATACTGGCTTGACAATTTCCGTTCTGGGCCACATCGCAAGCCGCATCCGCGCTACGTCTGTCCGCTCGAGCCGCTTCTCAATCTAATTCTTCGCTCCCGCCGCTGCCTTCTGTTGCTGTAGTGCACTCATCCGTTCGTCGACGCTTTCTGCAAACCCTCGTCAAATTCGACAATCCAGAAACAAGAGCCTCATCGGGTCTACACTGTCTCATACTATAGTTCGCCGCATTTCAAGTTGACTTGCTTCTTGCCTGGCCCTGCCACAGTACCTAGCCGCTGCACCACCACATACGCCGCCAAAAGCACAGTACTGCACCGCACCTGATTACACTCACATGAACACAAGCAACCACCCTGCCTCGTGTCAAGTCAATCTGATTACGTCTTTCCCTTCTCCAACAAACATCAGAGGCCCTTGTCACTTTGTTCCTTATTAGTCGAAAATCTGACGCATCTCACGATCGGTCAGTGCTAGCAGCCGTAACTAGATCTCGAGGTCACCAACTCCACGATTCTAACTGTGCATCATCGTCATTACTGCCCGTGTTGATTGCATTACGGACTACAGTAAGTACATATCTTTCACGTGAACTACATCACTGGCCCTTCTATTCCTCATGCACCTATTCACTTTCCTTTTGCTGTCTTATACTCCCTCAACATTTGGCTTGCAACAGCTTTTCGTCGTATTATCCTTGACCTCTGGCTGCATTCTGTCAATGGGCTGTCACGAGTGTGTTCCATCTAGCCAGCACCCCGCCCCGACCCGCCTTGCGCCAGCCTCCATGCCCGCACTCCCCTAGCACCAAGTACACGCCTGGCTATCCATCACTTTGTGTTCAGCGCTTTTTCAAGGTCGCCAAAGCAAAGTGCTTGACTTTCAAGCTTGGAAGCGTGACGTTTGGTCTTCATTCAATCAAGGTCAATGTGACTGCAGAAGCTCCTTCACCACTTGACCCTTGCATAAGCCTCAGCAGCCAGTGCAGAAACAGGTGACAACAGAGAAGAGGGAAAAAAAATTCAATCCAAAACCTACCCAAACAAATCCATGCCACTGAATGCATGCGTAGGTAGCATAGCGCATCCTGCCGCACGCATGCACGCAGATTCCTCATCTCAACCTCCTCGCTGTTCTTCCCACTCTGCCTTGCTTCAAAACTTATCAATTCGGGCTTGTACCCACGCGCTCAGTCAGCGAAAAGTTGTCTTTGGGACTGGAAAAGAGAGACCCGACCCAACACGGCCTGTCCGTCCCTCACCTGCGTCGCCACCTAAGGCTCTACCTCTCCATTAGTACTTGATCTATGTTTAGGCCCTGTCCCCCGGCGTCCTTTTTCCCTCGTTACCAACAGCTTTTTATACCCCGTCTCTTGCCCACTTTCTCGCGCCCACCGTTCCCTTTCCTCCCCTCCCTTCCCCTCTGCCCCGCCCCCCCTCCAGCCTGTCCCGTGCCACCAAAAACACCACCGATTCTCCCCCTCGGTTTTCTCTTTGTTTCCCCAGATACCCTTGGCCTTGCCAATTCTTTGCGCATCGTCCCTGTCACTGTCTCCAGCTCACATACGGTCAATAGTCTATTCCGACAGTCGGCAGACGTTTTACCAGCCCCAAATCCACCGGCTGCCCAACTTTGAGTGCAGAATTAACCTCACGAGTCGCCCCTCTGCGCCCGTGCCGATACCCTGTTCGACCGAGACATTACTCGTCCATCGTCATCCAAGTGTTCTGTACTCGTCTCGCGCAAATACAGACCTTTGTTAAGAAATCATCATCGGCCGAGCTTCTGCTTGCGATTCAGCTTCTTTCAATCAAGTCACCAACATTGGCCCTCCCTTTTTGCCCATCACGGCTCCCACTACACAAAGCATCCCTCTTGCATTGAACCGCCCCGGCGACTTTGCCCACTTTGCCTGCATTTTTGCTTCGAATAGGACATACGCATCCAAACAATGTCGGCTCATCGGCCAAACGCCTTCAACAGCCTCCGGATGGGAGGTTAGTATACCAACCCCTGCCATTGGGCCTGAATCTTGTGCCTGGTTTGATAGATGACCGCTCAACTGACACAATTGCAGAGGTGATCCGCGAGAAGGTCCAAGATGGAGTGACTGGAGAAACTCGGGATCTGCAATACACGCAATGCAAGATTGTTGGAAATGGCTCCTTCGGTGTTGTTTTCCAGACCAAGCTGTCCCCTTCCGGAGAGGATGCTGCTATTAAACGAGTCCTTCAGGACAAGCGGTTCAAGGTACTAGGCACCAACCCAGCTTGTCCGGGCCATTTACTAATTGTTTCCTCCAATCCAGAACCGTGAGCTCCAGATCATGCGCATTGTCCGCCACCCCAACATTGTTCAGTTGAAGGCTTTCTATTATTCCAATGGTGAACGTGTATGGGATCTTGCTCATCCAGTTACGTCGCCCAATCCGCTAATTCCCTCATAGAAAGATGAGGTTTATTTGAACCTCGTCCAAGAGTTCGTGCCCGAGACCGTCTACCGAGCCTCTCGATTTTTCAACAAGATGAAAACTACTATGCCCATCCTGGAGGTCAAGTTGTACATCTACCAGTTATTCAGAGCCTTGGCATATATTCACTCTCAGGGCATCTGTCACCGAGACATCAAACCTCAGAACCTTCTCCTGGATCCCAACAGCGGCATCCTTAAGCTTTGCGATTTCGGAAGTGCGAAAATTTTGGTCCCTAATGAGCCCAACGTTTCGTACATCTGCTCCCGGTACTACCGTGCACCTGAACTTATCTTTGGTGCGACAAATTATACCACAAAGATCGGTAAGATTTCTGTACGAATACTAATCATACCTCCTTGCTAACTGGCCTAGATGTGTGGTCTACTGGCTGTGTGATGGCTGAATTGATGCTTGGTCAACCTCTCTTCCCTGGCGAGTCGGGCATTGATCAGCTCGTCGAAATAATCAAGGTCCTGGGCACTCCTACTCGAGAACAAATTCGAACCATGAACCCCAATTATATGGAGCACAAGTTCCCCCAGATCAAGCCTCATCCATTTAACAAGGTCTTCCGAAAGGCGGATGCCAATGCTATTGACCTCATCGCCCGCCTCCTTGAGTACACCCCAACCGAGCGACAGTCAGCCATCGATGCTATGGTTCACCCTTTCTTTGACGAACTTCGGGACCCCAATACAAAGCTTCCTGATTCGCGACACGGCACTGGCCAGCTTCGTGAACTCCCTGCGCTTTTCGATTTCACACGTCATGGTATGATGAGAATCCACAGACACCTTCATCAGCAAGATAGCTAACAATGATCCAGAACTCTCAATCGCCCCCAGCCTGAACCAAAAGCTTGTTCCAGCACACATCCGACCCGTGCTAGCATCTCAAGGCCTTGATATCGACCACTTCACACCCTTGACGGAGCAGGAGATGATGGCGAAACTGGATTGAGCCGGCCTCGCGTCGAGGCGAAGGGTAGTTTGCATTTGCTTACACCCTTCTCAGGCTCTCCGCGGCTGTGGAAGAGTCCTGCCTCGTCCACTCCCAGTACCGAGCTGAGTAAAAGTGGTTGGGAGCGATGGCCCAGGCTAAGGCCGGGTCAGATGGCGGGCAGGCGCTACATGGTCCTGAAGCTAATAGCGTCGGTCTTTGATACAAGGCACGGTGTATAGGCGTCGAGGGCCAGATGAGAAGGCATGTGTGTTCTGGTGAGCGTTGGAGTCTTTCCCGGCAGGGAGGGGATTGGGCGTTGTGCGTGCCCTTATATGAACCCGCTCTCAGTTTTGCCTTAAGGCTAGTCACGACGAGGGATAACCCCATTGATGCATATCACAGGGAATTACGTTTTTAGACCACGTTTCGATGCATGAGGATGATCGGTGCTCTTTTTTTATTGTATGCGTCTCAAGGGAGGAACCCAATTATTCGGCTATGGTTGGCTTTGCGAATGGCGATGATGACATTTGTTGAATTCTTCTTTTGGTACCGCGTTATGCCTTTGCCATGGTTGCCCAGAGGGTTCCGATCCTGGGATTGGTTGGAGACGCCTGAGTGGTTGAAAAGGGTTGGTCTGGTATGGCCTACGGTGAACATAACCCGGCAACCGATATTGTCCTCAACGCTGCAACGAATTTATCAATTGAAGCTGGCCATGGACGGCCCTGTGGCATTTTACTCTCGCTTTCCCGCCGACGTGGAGGAGTTTGGCATTATTTGGTCTAGTCGTCAATGGTCCAAGACGATATAAAGAATAAGGGACTGCTTATGAATCACAAATAAAAGGCAGAAGAATGAATGACGTGACGCATTGAAGCACGTGGGGAGCTCTGAATTGACGTCTCTGGAAAGCACACAGCTTTTATGTATAGACTTCAATTGCGCAAGTTGATAAAATCCACGTTTTTTGGTTTCTACTTGGTACTCTTCGAGGATCATTTTACTTGAGTGATCACCGATGTCTAGAAATTAAAAGTTGAGTATTCAGTCTATTATATTATGTCAAGCTCAAAATCAAGTGGAAGCCCGTAAATTGGCCGCATGCTTTGTAGCCTCGCAATACCGCCAAAGGAAAGGTCTCATATGATCCGTTTATTTGATGATTCTGAATCATAGCTGTGTTGGGAACGCAAGCAGACTTATGTCAGTGGTTACATAGTCCTGCCTCAGGCACTCACACTAAGCTCAGGTGTTAGCGTGTTAGCCTCGCGGTACATTTCGCTTCGTCCGACAATGCTCCAATCCCACGCTAGTTCATGCACCTCAGGGCAGCTTCCAATATCACTCTACTTAATTCCGTCCCTAGTGGATGTCCCCCCAAACTTTTAGCAGTGACGCAGCCTCGCATTCGATCTCACAAACTTTACTTATCATCACTACGAGCCACCATTGAGATTCGACAAGCAGCTACGTTTTCAAATACGAGAAGCGCATCATGGCCGACTACGATCGACGACCAGGCGGCTACCGCAAGCGAAGATATCGAGGTGTGTTGCACTGAGCTCAGCCCGATGCAAGCTACGCGAAGCTGTCGCGTTCCCTTCATTTCACCTGCTAATAATCTGTTATGTAGATGACGACGACCATTACGATCGCCGAAATCAGAGAAGACGGGTTGACTCGGCACCTCTTCCTGTGCGCGTCCGACGGCAGCTTCTGAGCATCGCAGACTCTCCTTTGCGCAGATGGGCTGAAGAAGTTCAATCCATTGCACATATGGTGGCCGAAAATCATGACGACGAAAATCTTCGCAAGACATTTCTCGACTTGGTGACGCAACTTCTGCTCGAGCAGCCTCTCAAGACGCCCTTCGTTGCCGCCGTTGTTCACATCATCAATACCCTGAAGCCTGAGTTCGTTGATGAGATCCTCGCTCGCGTTGGGCAAATGACAGCAGACAAGATCGCTCAGGGCGAATGGCGTGATGTAAAGTTGCTTCTTAAGTTTCTGGCTTGTCTGCAGTCTTTGATGGAAGGGGATGGCCTCTTTCCCATTCTAGAGGAGCTATTCAGTCGAGCTGCGGACCTCCAAACAGCCAGTTCGGACGACGTGAGTTGAATGATGTGGCAATCTGAATCTGTTTACTGACTTATGACAGACTATTGGTACCGAAATTGTCAAGATAATTCTCCTTACCATCCCTTACATCATGGTGTCCGCCCCTGGACAATTTCAGCAAAAGGCTGCGGAGTTGATGGAGAAGACAGACATTATTGCTTCCGAACCTCATGCCCTCCAGGTACTTGTTGATCCTTATCACCCCGAGGGCAAAGAAGAGAGTCCTGGCACGTCTCTTAGTGTTTGTATGCTGCTCCAACAGCAGCTCCAGTCTGAAGCAGCCAAGAACTGGGAACTATCATGCTTGCCACGACCTTGGGAGATGCCACTGGAGGATATCGAGGCTCAAGACAAACTCTCGAATGCGCCTAAACACGCGCTTCCCGCTATCGCCATTCCCGCAACTGTTATTGCCGGGCCCCGACCTCTATTTCCAGAGATATACTTTTCAGTCTACTCTCAACAGGATATCCCTTCTGTCCCAGCTGTGACCGACATCGCTGCATCCCTTATTCGCGATGGCCTTCTTGACACGATCAACATACTGGACTTCAACCGTAATGTGACGGCTCGCTACTTGATGGACCTGGATTGCTATTTCGCCGACGGCACTTTTGTTAAGCGTGCCACTCCTTTTGATGAATTGAAGAACTTTCCCGATGGTAAAAACACATGGAAGCCAGAGGATGTTGCTGTCGATACAGTGTTCTCGCAGTTGTTCCAACTGCCCACGCCCGAGCGAAAGCTTGTGTACTACCATTCAGTCCTCACTGAGGCCTGCAAGTTGGCACCAGCCGCTATTGCCCCTAGTCTTGGTAGGGCTATAAGATATCTCTACCGGAACAGCCCTCAAATGGATCTGGAGCTGAGCTATCGGTTCATGGATTGGTTTTCCCACCATCTCAGTAATTTTGGCTTCACCTGGAAGTGGGCCGAATGGGTCGATGATGCGCAACTGCCAAATGCCCATCCCAGCAAGTGGTTCTTGAAGGGTGCCCTGGATAAGGAGGTGAGACTGAGTTTTGCCCAGAGAATTCAGAAGACCCTCCCTGAACCCTACCTACCCTTGGTAGGCCCTGAGAAAGAGAAAGATGTTCCCGACTTCAAGTTTCAGAATCCTGGTATGTATCGAGTTCTATTGCCCCGTGCAGCTTACTGACATGCTCCAGAAACGCCGTTCTCCAAGGAGGGCCAGGAAATCGCCAGTCTCCTGAGACGGAAAGCACCAGATGAGGAGTTTCAGCCTCTTTTCGACAGCATTCGAACCCAAGCTTCAGAGCAATCATTGGACCCTATTGTTGCTAGCACAGATGTCTTTATGACCGCCGTCTGCTGGGTTGGTTCCAAGTCGTTAAGCCACGTCCTTGCCTGTATCGAGCGAACCAAGGGCCGATTACTTGAAGCTGGTAATTCCTCCGATGCGGCGCGCGCCCAAATTATCTCTGCCGTCATGAGTTACTGGCACGCACACCCTGGTGTTGCTCTCTCAATCATCGAAAAACTTGTCAACTACTCCATCCTGACCCCTTTTACCGTGGTAGACTGGGCTCTTGTGGCTAGCACGCCAGCCAACGGCACTGATGGTGGTGATAGTCTCACTGAACCTCACTTCTTTGAGCTAGTCTTTAACACGATTTTCAAAGTCACGCGTCGCAGCCGTGATGTTGTCGCTGCACCCGAAACCGATGAGGAGACACGCATCAAGGAGATAAAATCGACTCAGGATCTTTTCCGCGCCATGAATGATGCTCTTGTTAGCTGGGCTGGTGGAAGCAAGGATGAGCTGATGGAGGGAGGTGACGGATCAAGCGATCGCGAAGCCATGATCCGACGATGGGGACAACGATGGCTGCGTGTCTTTAAGAGGATGGGTGCCATCGAGGAGGCCTTTGTTCTCGAGGTGAGCAAGAATTTGGGTAAAGACAAGATGGCTACGGATGGAGTAGAAAATTAGACGACCGAACTGCAAAGTTTCGAACACGGAGCGATAGATATACGTGTACTAAAATGGAGCTTACTCGGAGTGTCATTTCTGAAACTACAGGGTACGGAATTCAGGTAATTCACATGATTTCAAAGGATATGTTATCTTACGACAGAACATTGCTAGGTTATGTACTGCAGGTATTATGAACGTTTTTATGTGACCTGGTGTATCTCATCCACATGGATAAGTGGATTGGTAGCATTAATACATAATTCGTGACTTGAGTTTGGTTTACAATATTGCCCATTCTAAGCTCACTCATGAGTGAGTATCCGCAAGTGGTGATTGAGCTCTGGCTTGCACCATCCCCAAAATATTGCTGCTTGCATGACCATTGAATACTGGTCTCGTCCTAGTTAACCGACGCTGCGCCATTGCTGAGGGTATCTCCTTTTGAAACAAAATATAGGGCTGATGCAGAAAGTTTGATTCAGCCGAGAAGTGTCGTCTGATATGATTAAACAAGCAGGTTTCGTTTGATGCGCCGGGGTAACACGATTTCGTTGACCATAAGCTGTTCGGCGGCCTGGGACTTCTCACCTAGCTTTTTGAGCTTGTCCATTAGGTGACTATGATCAAAATGTCAGTTTATCGATGTTATCTGACACGGGATGGGCGCGTCTTCGGAATCCATCTACAATGGACCTAAAATTGTGTCTGCTCGCAAGAACAGGAGTCTTGGTTGGAGACGACTCTGGTGTTCGTGGCTGAAGAGAGGGTGCAACAGGGCTGTTCGCAAGTGTTGGAGTTGAGGCTGCAGTAGCAACTTGGTCTATAGGCGGGCTTTGCCTTTGCTGGGTAATGCAAGGGGGGTGTAACTCAACGACAATCAGAAAGGGCGGGAAATACGCATACTTTACAGGCAAGTGACCGCGAGTGGCTTCGGTCCTGGCGAGGTTTACACGATCCATCTGCTGTTCGTGCTCGTTAAAATGGCGTCTGATACGGTCTCGGCAGTTTTGAATATCACCGCCACGGACCACATATCCACAATCCTCTTCTTCACAAACCCATGTCTCGCCAGGGCCACGTGGTACGGTTGTAGGGATGTTGTCTGCTCTTAGATAAATCTTGACAGGGCCTTCAGATGTTTCTTGAGCATCTTCATCCTCGGACAGACTCATGTGACTGGTATTACCCATAGTCTCTTCCTCACCAGAAAAGTAGTGGGATCGCTTCGGCTCTGACCCCTCATCCTCAGAGTAACTATCAACTTCAGAGTGAGGCCGCTTTCTAGAAGTGGTTGCCAGACGAAGACCGGACTTAATACCAGATGGACGACCTGGTCGCATAAGGCTCTTACCTGCAGGCGAAGAGCGGAGAGGAGTTGAAGGCCCTTCATCGTGGTTCCTAGAGGCGGCTCTAGCTTGCGAGGGGGGTGTTGTTTTGCTTGGGTTGTTCTTGTTAGATGGCTGACGTCGTTTAACGTAGAACGGAAAATCTGATAGTTTAATGGTGACAGGGTTGAAAGGCGTTTGGGCGAGCTCTTGTAGCCATGAATAGAATTCGCCATCATACTTATCCTTGTTAAGAACCTGTAAGAGAGCATGCGCATTGTAATGGAGAACTTCCGTGATAGGCACCCTATACGATGGCCTTATATCCCCTTTGTAGGTGGGGAAACTGAAGTTTGACCAGAATCGCTGAGTCACAGCTGGGATGCTCAGATGTCCGTTCCTGGAGTTGCTGATCTCTACGCGAATCCA